TCTTTGTATACATAACTCTGGGCGGGAACAGTATTTTCCAGCCCAGGGCAAATTACCTTTGAAACCAAAATAGGTCGAAGGGAGAAATAAAGTGGGAGAAACCTTATTGCTTACAAGCAGTTGCCCATTTCGGCTTGCCTGCCTCTCGCGACGCTGCTGCAAAAAGGGACCCCACCCAACCTCTCTGGTCCAGATATGCCCTGCTCCCCCATGTAATTACCAATTGACATGGAGATGGACTACTTCTCTCCACCCCTTGGAAACACCTATTGATATGGAGATGTACTAAGGCCAGGGAGAGATTCTAGAAATATTGCAATTTTACCCACAGTATATTTTTATTTTTCTGCTGGACACTATTCTTCAAGACTTTCAATTCAAGCAAGTTAAGAGATAAAAGAATCATACTTGGCTATGTGTGATTGAACTTCAGAACTAGTCACTGTTTAAACTTACTCATCTGGGCAATGTCTCAGTAAATCTCAATTAAGTCCTAACTTAATAAACACAAATGCTGAAATCTCTAAACTATTAATCAACCCCCTTAGGCCTTTTCTTTGGAAATAGAGTAATGGGTAGAAACACTAGGACATCTGAACAGGAGAGGAAGGTGGGATTTTTTAAAAAGCACTCTGTATGTAAGTAAAATTGTTTTTGTGAAAACAGGACTGTTGTATTACATCTGTGGAGATAAAATAATATGATTGCTTGTAACAGTCAGTGCTTTTAAGGAACAGCTCAGACTGGAAATTCAAAACACACTCTGGGTTTCCCCCTCCTGTTTTTCCTGAAGTTACCAAGATGGGTGGTCATGGGACGCAAGTAATGTTTATGCAGCACTTACTGTGGCTCAGGTACTGGGCTACATACATTAAATATATGCCCCCTTTTAAGCCTCCAGTTAAAACTGTAAGTGGATAGTAATGTGCATTTTTTTAAAGACAAGAAATCTGGTATCTAGAGAAGTTGTAGACTTTGCCAAAGGTTATAAGCAAGAAGGAGGTGAAACCAAGGTTCAAACCCAGATCTGTCCAAAATAACATCCATGCCCTTTCTGCCATGGTATGCTTCTTCTGAACACCAGATTGTTTGATGTTTCTTGCTGAGGACAGTTTACTTCCTTATGGCAGTTGTCCTTATTGGATGTTGAGTTACATCCAAAGTCTCCGGATTAGAGACAGGTGAAACTTAAAGACCTTTCAGAACCTCCTAACTTTTCACACCCCCTCCCAGGTAGTGCCCTCACACCTGCTGTTTTTTTCTGCTGGAAATTCTTTCTTTGCTCCTTTTTTTGTCTACTTAACTACTTTAATCTATCCTGCAGACCTCATTTAGATTATTATTTCTTCAAGTAGGCCTTCCTTTCCTTTGCACACTATTTCTATCATATATTTTTAATAGCCTATGCCTTTGATTGAAAAACTTATACCACAGATGCAATTTTACATGTCTGTGTATGCTCTAAAAATCAGCTTCCTTAGCTTTTTAGAGAAAAGATAATGAACTATTTGTCTTCTGTCTCTGATGACTCGCCTGAATGGTGACAGCTTGAAACTGTCATTTGTGGATGGGCTACCGCTGCTTCTGTGCTAGGCACAGGGAGAGGGAAACTGAAGATCCTTAAGCCTTGTTCTGGCACTCAAGGAACTAAAAATCTGATTGGAAAGGTGTGAATAAGGCTAATTATTTAGTAAATTAGGGACAGAATGTTATACCATGCAACTCATCAAAAAAGGTGGAGTCCTGTTATAAGCCCACTGGACTCCTTAAAGAGTAAACCCATAGACTAACACTGATAGTGTGGGAAACAGAATAGGGTCTCAAGCATAAGCTCCCTGAGCCCATTTGAATTTTGGAGGTCTCCTAGACCCATTGTCACTGGAACATTTCATTCCCAATTTACAAATAACATATACACACAACAGCCATAGGCTATCCCAGCCTGGGGACACTCAATGCTATCGCCAGGGAAGTCACCATGAAAAGCAAAATAAAACCCCCCAAATTTTTTTTTAATTAATAGTTTTGAAGGAGGAGGATGGGAATAAATGACAAAATTTAAGATGATAGGGAACTGAACTTAAAGTTCCTCTTCCTCAGTATTATTTCTACCCCTTACTAACAGAATTCTTTCTCTTATCACTTTTCATGCCTGAAAATTTTATTAGGGAGATGTTCCTTTGAGACCACAAAATACTTTTTAATTTGTGTATATCTTTGGAAGGGTTGATAGTCTTCCACACATGAGTGTGAATTAGTTTAATCACATTCTCTTACTCAGTTCCAGCTTGCAGTATATTAAAGGAATGCTGAATTTTAAGAATAGAGAGCAACAGCCAGCCTAGGTGGGATAGGGAACTAAAGCCAGAATGAGGAAGGACAGGAGGTGCATGGAAAAGGTCTCAGGAGAACACCAGAGAAGGTGCAAAAGGAGCAGAAAGGAGCTAAAGAAGATTTTTATGTCTTTTAAGACCAACTCACCAAGAGAGGAAAAGAAATTGCCTCTTCTTTCTTGACCTTTATAGAGAATGGAACCAACTCTGGTACCACTGCAATGTCTCTGCAAACATTAAATACATTTTTCTGAGCTGGCTTAGTGACACAAGTCTTGTGGGAAAATGAATGATATTCCAAACAAAGGAAAGATCCTTCCAGGTCTAAAGACAATGAGAAATTTTTGGTCGATTGAACCACATGAAATTGCAAATCTTCAAGTGATTATGACAAACAGTTTCAAGTGGATCAACCTAAAAGTTGATAAATTGAGACTTCCTGAATTTTTTACCTGAAATCACATCATCAGAATGAAGAATTTAAAATGCTATTAGCCATGTTGTATAGTAGAAGGACTTTTTTTTAAATAGGCTTTACTAGTCTTGAAGATATATTGTGATTGATGATGCTACTTCATAAGTGATGCTATTAAAAATAGTTGTGTTAAAATGCACAATTCCCTAGATCCCACTATCTTTGTCCATGTCAATTCATTCAATTCATTATTCAGACATCACTTCCTTACAGCCCTAGACAACCTAGGTCATCAAAATCCATGGGTGTTTGAGGTTGAGGTTGACAGTGGGCATTAAGGGTTTCAGGAGAACCCTAGTAAACTCATTTTTTTTTTCTTGCACCATTTAATGCTCAGAAGGAGGAGTTTACCATGTGATCTGGTGTCCTTACCACTTACTTCTGTCTGAAGAGAAAACTGCCTTCATAGGTTCCTTTTCCATTCCAAAGTACAATAGCAATTTAAAAGTCTGTAATTTGGCATCTAGATGAATTATAAGGGCTCCTTCAGTACTATGGTTTCATGATTAGGCTTTAAGGGGGGAAAAAACCCAACTATGCCTGTTATGTGCATAGAGGATTTCTGTAACTGGCAACAATAGTTCTTGGGGAAGGCAAACTTACTTTTTCTCTTTACTGAGCTTGTTTGTGTTTATTATTTAATATCATGTATTATAACACCATGTATTATTTACTACTACTAGTAAAAATAACTTAAAACATTACAATTAATTTAAAATTTAAGTAGACAAAACATTTTACTTGTAAAGGTAGAGCCAGAGCCCTTTAAAAATGTTTACATCCTGCTCTTTTCTTTACAATCTTGTCGTTATTGTGATTTTTTTTGAAGTAATAATTCTTAGGAACTATGGGAGGTAGAAGAGAGATGCAGAAGATTTTGATAATAGAAATTGCTATTTATTCTGCAAATATTTGTAACTACCAGTTATGTGACAGGTCCTGGGCTATGTACTTCCTCCAAAACCTTTGGACGGCTTCTTGTGTAAATACCCAAGCATTTCTTTTTTCTTTGAGAGCTCTGCATACTTAAAATGCTTCCCATAGATAAGTGTTGGTTTGTTTCGCATGAAGGCAGCAACCATGAGCTCACCTGCAGGGAGAGTCAGCCAGGACACTAAGGGAAGTCCCTGTTGTCTCATGGAGGCAGTCTGCGCTGATAACCTGTAGGTGAGAGAGAGAGAGAATTGTGCAGAGTGGGGGAGTCATCTTGAGCTAGATCTGATACACATACACACACACACACACATATCTTCTGATGGATGACTGGCAATAACCACAGGGACATCTTACTTTACAAAATTGTTGAATTACCCAAAAGCTCATTCTAAAGATTTGTCAACAGAATCCTGAACACACTAAAAAAACTTGCTAAATCAAAGAAGCTTTGCTACTTGACAATTTTTGTAAAGCCATAGAACTTCCTTGTTTAAATTCAGATTTCATATAGATGATGTGTAGGTAAGGACAATGCCTTAAATCTAAACTCTCAAAGTTTTCAAAGCCCTTAGACATACCTTATTTCTATTAATCCTCACAAACAACACTGTGAAAATCATTTTCCATTTCACAGATGAGGAAAGTGCAACTTAGAGCCATTTGCAAATGGAAACCTGGTAGGAAACAGCTGAAGTTTAGACGAGGACCCGGGAACCCTATTTTGGTACTAACCTAGTCCTAAGGCATGCCTCTCCAGTGATAAGCTGAGCACAAGTGACTTTATTAGGGAAATTCCTCAGATTTTCATAAAACCACAAGAGTGCATATGCCTTAGGAATCCCAATTTCTCCCATTCTTCCCCCTCCAAACCACCTTCCTGGAGTTCCCTTTGGATTATGTCATTCGCTTCTCCCAGCATCTTTGCTCACCCCATACAGCCTACAAAATGAAGTTCAGGTCCCACAAACTGGCAATCAACTGCTCTTCCTCAGCCCCCATCCACTACTCCAACCCTCCTTACCATGTCAGTGTGCTATTTCTCGCCCCTTTTCCATTAACCAAGCAGATCAGTCTACTACAGTCTAACACTGTAGGGTGACGTAGGTGAGGGTAGGACATGGGTGAGGGTAGGAGGGCCACAAAACTTCAGGGGACATCAAAGAGCTCAGTAATTAACTAAGTATTTTAATGAAATATTAAAAAGGTTAATGCAAAAAAATTATGCATGATGAAACATATCAAAATGTAAAATAAAGACAGGATCACTATTAATGGTTGTTCTTTTTCTTCAGACTTCAAAATGCCCCAGCAGAGCCCTGTTACTGTTATTGTAGTGACTCCCTCCCCACTCTTTTATTTTATGAATGATATTTCCCAATTGTTAGTTCTCACAACTCCTTTCCGTGTCAGTGGCTTTTCTTCTTAAAAGCCCCAGCATTTATCTATAGCTCTTTTTTATTCGGAAAACCAATTTCCATTAGTGATTAGTAGTACTTTGAGGGCCATCTGAATCGTAGATCCTTTCCAAAACAGTGGGCACTCAGGCACAAGTGAGTGAAAGAATGCAGAAACCTTTGCTAAAGAATGCAGAAATCACGATCCTCACATTGGCTATCTGTAGGACTGAGCAGGGAAGGAACCCAGACATGCCTTATTTGGTCCAGAGTGTTTTGGTTTTTTTTTTAATTGAATTTCTAATCAAGATATAAATATCATGAAAAAAACAGAAATATCTGGTCATTTCTTGAAAATCGGAAAATCTAGCAAAAGCAGGCCTGAATTCTTCCATGACAGCAATGGGCACTTAGCAGAGTCCCTCTTGCCTTCAGATCTCTCCAGTTCGCCGCCTCCTCCCCGTTTCACTCATTTACATTGCCCGCCAGGCCCCGTTAGCTTTTTGAGTTTGCGACGTAGGCACGAAAGAACGAGTGCAATGGATAAAACCCATCTGCTGGGCCCACTCTATCTCCCCTGGAGAATAAATGTTTCCTCGCTGTCCCCTCCAATACCGTCTTACAGAGGCTCACAGAAACAGCTCACGTTTCTAGCCCACAAACTTCCCACAGCCCGTGCAACTTGCATCGCTTTCCGCCCACCGTCTTTCCCCGCCCAGTTGCTGCAGAGCCCCCTCCCTGGCCCTGGCCGCGGCCTCCCTCCACCTCACCGCCTGCGGTCTGGTGCCCGAGGCGGGTCCCGGCCCCCGGCCCCCGGCCCCCGGGCCCCCACCGCAGCTCTCTGCCCCGGGCCGGGCTCGCCCACGGCGGCACTGGGCATGCTCAGAGGCGGCCGCGGGTGCAGGTTGGCGGTGCAGGCGCTCGCACTCGGCAGCGGGCAGGCGGCGGGCGCGCGGCTGCAGCTGGAGCTCCAGCGCCCGGAGTTGGAGTTGCCGGAGTTTTCCCCCCACCCCTCCCTCCCCGCGCGCCGCAGCCGGAGCGGGCGCGGGAGCCGCGAGCGGCGGCGAGCCAGCACCCGGGCGGGCCGAGCCTCGTCTGGAGCCCGGAGCCCCGCGCGGGGTAGCCCCCGGAGGGGCCTCTCCTTGCTGAGACGCGTGCCGCGAGCTGGCACTGCCGGGACACGAACCGGGTCGCACGGTAGGGCCAGGGAAGGCAGAGGCCAGTCCGGGGGAATGCGGCGGCAGCCGCCTCGGCGACTGGGGAGCCCAGCGCTCGGTCCGAGGCGGGCGGCAGGGGCGAGGACCAGGCTGAGGGGCGGGAGGGGTAGGCAGGCGCTCAGAGAGATGCTTTCAAGTTGGCGGGCTGCGGGAGTGGGGACTGCGCACCCATAGGGACTCGGTTTCCGCTTCTCCCCAAGCCTGGGACCTGGGGTGCGGGCAGTGTTGGGCTTGCCGCGGAGCGGAACAGTTTTTTCAGAGAAAGTTGAGGATGGAGGCTTTCTTTCCGCACTGTCCCCGCGGTAGGATGGGTGCCCGGGGCGCCACCCCGAGACCCCATCGTGGTGGAGCCGAGCGGGTCGCTGCGCCCTTGGGCTGAGTTCCTCCACTCCCGGCTGAATCCACGAATCACCCCGATCCTCGCTTCTCTGCGTCTTCTAGGAAAATCATTCCTGCTAACACTGAGGTAGGCTCTCTTGTGGGGCAGGGCATCCTGCCTCCCGGGCGCTTAGCTGGGAGGTGCTCCTCCCCAACCTCAGACGTGGCGGAGGGCGCCAGGTTCCGAGTTAGCGCTCGCGGAGCGCGCCGGAATCCAGCCTCACACACAGGACGGGACAACGTGGCAGGGGTATGTGGATGGCCCGGTATTTCCTCCAGCCTTTCCTCAGGTTCACGGCGCCCCACCGACCCACCCTGCTCATCTTCGCAGGGGACAGGGCTTGAAGGAAAGGCCCAGGTGGAGAGTTGGGGCTGATAGACTTCCTTCGGACAGAGTGCCTGGGTGTGTCTGCCCTGGGCTCTGGCCCTCGGACTTGTAATGAGCCCTCCCTCCTTTCTGTGCTTCCTCAGGGATTGGGTGGGAAGGAATGGGGCCGGTGGATCCACAAGAATGCCCACCAAATCCTGCCGTCTTCTAAAATCGTGTTCCAGGCGTCCTTAGGCCCCTGCGACTGGCTTTGTGAGATTGTTCAGGTGTGGAAGATGTCGATGGTTCTCCTGGCTCTACTTTTTTCACTTCTTGTTTTGAGTTTTGGGGTTTTGCCTGCGCACGAGTCAGAGCTGCGTTGTCATAAGCTGGGGTGGGGGGTGGGGGGTGGGGGGAGTGGAGGAGTTTCAGCCAGGCAGTGAGCTGCTGTTAGCCCTGGAGGCTGCTAGTGGGAATTGGTCCAGAAATGATTATGCAGGCTAGAAATATGCCTCTTCTTTTTTTCTTTTTTGGCTGAACACCTTGGCTGTGGGGTTTGTGTGTTAAGTTCTTAAAGGGGCACCCTCACATTGCCCAAGTGCCATGGTTTAGGGGCTCACCATTTCTGCTGCTTTTTCTTTGCCTTTTCCTTGGGGGAATCTAACTTGGGGCAGATTTCCAGATGTGGGAAACTTGGTGTGGGTACCCAGGTTACAGAGTCAGACCCGAGGTCAAGTTTTAGCTTTGCAGCTGATGACTGCTCATAGACAAACGGTCAACCACTCTGAACTCAGTTTTCTCTTCTGCCAAATGGGAATAACAACCTTATCACCTTTCATTGTAGGGGTGTTTGAGAGGCTTGGGTGAGGAAATAGAAATGAACAACCTTATCACCTTTCATTGCAGGGGTGTTGAGAGGCTTGGTTGAGGAAATAGAAATGAAAGTTTAAGAAAACTTAAAAGCACCATTTATGTCTTATTGTGTCTATGCTCTTCATTGTTTTTTGAATTGACAAATTCTTTTAATTATAACCATACATCTAAGCCTTCTCCCCTCTACCCTCTCCTCACCAAGCCGGTTAGTTGCTTATGCCTTTGGAAGTTTTTTTTTTTTTTCTTTTCCCTTAAATCCACCTCTCTTTTGATTTTAAAGGTTGAGGCTCTAGATGCCATGTTTACCTGAGGGAAGCAAAATGGTGTAGGTAGACCTCTGGGGTTGCCTTTATCAATGTTCAGAGTTCTGGGCCCCAGAATTGGCGTGTTGGTAAGACCCCTGTTTGAGGTCTAAGGTTGATGAGTCAGCCAACCCTGGGCTGGAGCTATAGCTTGGTCTCTAACAGCAACCTTGAGCAAAGGACTCAACCCCTCCTCAGTGAAATCAGGCTGAGATTAAGAGCCAGTGGTAATCGGAGGCAAGAACAGGTGAAGTTGCCTCTCACTCAGTTAATCATTGTTTAGTCAGGCTCCTGAGCCCCCCAGGTGCTGCATTTGTCCCTGACCCTAGGGCAGGAGTTCTCAAACATGAGCATCAGGGTCACCTGGACCACTTGTTCCACCACAGACTGTTGGGCTGCGCTGCCAGAGTCTCTGATTCTCTAGGTCTAGGGGGAATGGGGCGGGGGTGGTGGTGGGGGACAGTGGTGGCAATAATTTGCATCTCTAACTAGTTCCAGATGATGCCGGTGCTGCTAGTCCAAGCCTAGAGAACCACAGACTTACAGAGTGAGAGACAGTAAGAGAAGCGAGGTTTGTTCTGAAATGCCATTGTATTAATACCTCATTAATAGAGATGGGTGTTTTAGGAACTTGCATAAAGCATTTCATATTTCCAATAACTGCCAGTCATCATTGTACAGTTTTGACTATTCTGATTGCTCTTCAAATGAATGAATTTTACACACAAAAAAATATAGGATTCCCCCTTCCTTTCATACTGTAAAATACTTAGTTTCTGGTTTCTAGATTTCTCTTGGACAAACTGAGATTGGTGGCCCCAATACTGATAAACATCCAAAATTACCCTATTTCCTTTCTGTGGGGATCTCCAATGTTTGTGCAGAGGAGGCTGCACAGAGTTCTGGCAGTTTGAACTTAAGATTGAACAGGTTGAATTACTTACAAGCAAACTTAAAAACAATTTGCACCATGATGCCTTTTCTGAATGGACAGCCTGCCCAGGCCTCCGGGAGAGGTGAAGTGCATCCCGTGTCAGATGTTCTGGGGTGGTCAGACCTGGCAAAGGCCTTGCATTCCTTCTGGAGGATGGCGGTAGTGGTGGTGACTGAGATCCTCTCTTGCTCTGATCAGGGGGCTGACTTTCAGGGACAGCTGTGCACTAAAGTGCTACTCTGCCATTTAGCATATAAATCAAGCACTATTTGGGTGCAGCCCAATCTTAATCTCTTTTCCTTGTTCCCCAAGCTATGGTCCTGTCCTGAGAGCTCACCATGACTTACCATGGCCTAGATTATGGCCTTGGATTTCAGCTGCTTTGTGTCACAGAGGCTTTGGGGCAGTTGTCTGCTTGAATCAGGAGGGTTCCTGAGTTGACGTGCTAGGGAAGGGATAAGGTTTATGTAGCACCCAAATGAACTAGGTGTCAGAGGAGGTCGACACTTAACTAGTTCTTGTGTCATGTGCCAAATGGAATCCCAGCTGACCATCATGCTTTATCTCAATTTTCCATTTGTGCTTTGTTTTAGTTTAAAAATGATTAGCCTTAGATAAACCTATCAGTAAAATCAGAAACCTACTCAAAAACTCAAGTGTACCATTTAATGTTTTAGTAGATAAAACTGCAAGGTTCATGCCTGTCTTCCTGATTGTAATCAGCACTCAGTGAAGAAACGACCTTTCCAGTTCTAATTCTTAAGATTCACTAGTTAAAGGGTTTCTCCTACTTAATGTGAGTAGGAAACATTTCTATTTTAAAATACCTTTCCATAACTTGTTTATATTTTGGGTGTTACCCCTAATTTTTGCTGCTAGGATTATTTTCCAGTGTAGGGGAGGCTTCTTATCACTGTAGTCCACTCTACTGAGCACATGACCACCTGATATCTTTGCTCCCTTGGATAAGGCTGTTGTGAGACAGTCATTACGATACTTTATTTCTCTTTGTTATCAGGGCTGTTGTTACTGGGTCATAGAGAGTCAAAGCCCATTCCTGGAACACTGCTCTCTTTAACCTGCTTTGAGTGTGTTTTTAAATTAAAACTGGGATTATACTGCACTACCTTAAATCTAAGATACCTTTTTTCATGTTTTATCATTTTCCAGTTTCAGAACCCAGATGAGTCTAAAAAGTATGAAGACAAGTAATGTATAGTTTCTTTTTCTGTAACCCAGCATGTAAATAAAGTGACTTCCAATTGATGACATTCTAAAATAAAGCAAGTCTGGTTCCTTACTCCAATAGAAAATATAGTTTCTACTCAATGCCGCCCAGCTGATCGAATTGAACAGCAATTGGATTAGCTAAGCAGTTCCCAGAGTTCGTCAGGAGAATGCTATGGGAATGGCTGTTAGTAGGTGTGCTCTTGAAAAGGGCAAATCAAGTGGGAAGCACTACCTATTATTTTTTCCTCTTTTAGAGATTCTCAACACATGCATCATCCTATCAAAGACTCTGAGAAGTGCTACAGTAAACAGTATCAACAACAAAAAAATTTGGTTATATTTATTCAATTAAACATTTCCCAGAACAGAGAACATTTTTGAGGTTATGTATATCTTCTAGTATGCCATTACTGAATTAGTACACTCCAGCAATTCTAGTATGTTGTTTAACACCATCTGTGGGTGGGGTGATTTCACCTAGTATGTCCCTATAGCATAGGGGCAATCATTAAAAATGTATATTGATTGATTAATGAACTTTGTAGGTGATTGCTGTATTTTAGAGTGGAGAGAAGCCATTTTAAGCTGTGATGGCTCATGTCTCCATGAAGGGACTACACTATGAAAGTGTTGTAAATGATGGGTAGTAGCACTTTTGTGGAGAGGAGAGGGGGCATTTTGGTTGGTGGCATAATGAAGCAGGAGTGTACAGACTTGTACTTGTGCCTGCATATAAATCATTTCCAGAGCATGAAAAAGACCATGCCTAGTACAGAGTGCGACTGAGTGAGTCTCTCCTCGGGGCCAAAGAACCTATTGTGAAGTTGGTTCTTAATCCCGTAAATTTTCTGAGTTCTAGTGACCACAGGAGAGCTAGTTGTAGATAAAAAGGAGGGTAGGCATGACACTCAGGTCGCAAAGAATCCGGGATGAAGGGAGCAGGAGGGGAGAATGGA